GCATCATTATTCCACTGAACTTCTCAATTTTCTCTTCGATCCTACTTTCAACCTTTCTGTTTTTCTCCTATTGTTCACCCAAATGGGCAGCCAAAGACCGCAACCAAAAGTGATGCACGGATGTGCATGCTTAATGATTGTTTAAACTGAAACTGTTTGTATTGTAGTCAGTGCACAGATTTGTGCATGCATGCTTNGGGACCGATGAAGACTGTGCCCATGCATTTGTGTACTAGCAGTGCTCCACCCCCTCCCCTCCCCGCAAAAAAAAATTAATAAAGTTGTTCTTTTGATTTAATCTTTGTAACACGTGAACATATCAGTGTCCCGGAATCGATGGATGTATTGTACATTTGTTTCACCCAAACTTGCCTCATTGTTGACAATTTGAGTTAAGTGGCCGAACACAGAACCGACCTTACCAATAGTGGTCGACATTAGTTCAGAACGCCAACAAGGCAAAATTTGTGGCAGAATAGTATGCATTCATTTAAGTCAAAAACTACATTCTAAACAAAGATGACCAAAACCGTTTACGATTGGACAGAATCCTTCGTATCCCCGGACAGCGATAACCTAACGACACAGTATTCTATCATCGCCGTTCATCTATCAATATTACTAGGCGACTTTTGGTAACACGAAGGTAATTACCCTGGTCAAATTCCCCTCTCACTCAGAACAGGAATCGGGTTTTCCGAAGAGCCCAAGTCTCTCGACTCATATAAATTGAAACCTAAAATCGGATTTCCAATCGTGATCGTCGATATGAACTTAGGTTACTGATAACAGTTGGTTACAGACCGCGTTCAACGAAGTAACTGCATTATTTATAGTGGTGGTGATGGTGGTATACTCACTGTAACCCTCCAATCTTCAGTTTTGTTTTCATTGAAAGAGCGCGTGAAAATAAAAACATGAAATCAACCGTAAATAGCAATCTACGGCGGAATTTTCACGTAAATATCTGTGGTTGTAAACCGCATCCTTTATTCGTTCAGAATCTTCAGCTTGAAAAAATTGCAGTTTATGATTTCGTATTTTTCTCTTTCACCTATCGGTGCATTTATTCTAGAGTACTTCAATGCTTCACTGTAATTTTTCCCAACCAAGGATTTGATTACTCTCGATATGACTTACCAGTTGTTGATACTGGTTTTTCACCTCCATGAACAAGCTGACCACATAGTGATGTGATCTTCACATAACCTATTGTGAAACCTCACAACTTACGAGCATATTGACAACCCCAATCATTCATTCAACCTTGATCTGTCTATCTGCGGTTGCTATCCTATGACTATCTGGCATTCCGTATAAATAACCCTCGGAATCAAACACTATGCTACTTGACATGAACTCTCATCATCATCACCAACGAAAAAACTTACACGAACTTCCTGTGAATCGAATTCAATGATAGTCTTCTTAATAATTCTTCATTTTAGCTTATCATGGAACTTTCTCCGTTCTTTAGTGCAACGGTGAATATTTTGTCCAGTCAGTTTTTGGGAGTGCTGGATTTCCTGTATTCGGCCATGATGAATGGTGTGCTTCTTGTGGTCTAATATTCACTAAATATGACATTCAGATGCTCAAGCATTTCCAAACTATCATTTTGGTCTCCGCATGGTCTTCGTTTAAGTAATTTTGTGGAATGACTAGTGCTCGTGAAATCACGTGGGGATAATCCATAAACAACGACAATAGTAATACTGGTAATACTTATAATATGGTTGTGAGCCCAAGCTAATCGTTTTCGGTCGTGCAGGTCCACGGTCATACCTCGAGCTATCAACTAGAGAGTTTGCAGATCGCATTCCAAGTAAAGCACGCGAGGTGAGCACTGCTAAAGAGCACCGAACCAGGGCAAGTAAGACTGTTCTTTTTACCCTTCGTAGACCTTTGTAAAAATTTTCTATGGTTAGTAATATACTATCGCAATCAGATCAGATTTGCTCTGTTTGAAAATCACACTGGTCTTCTCCTTTGGGACTACGCCGTTGCCTACCTGTTGTCTTAGTTATAACACGAGGTAAATAAACCCAGCCTGCATTTCAGCCGCGGCTCAAACGATTGGCTGCACGGGACTGCGTGGGGCGTTAGTCACGAATAGTCAGCTGATCGGAAGACAGACACGCACACCTGCAGCAGAGGACATGTAATTATTGATCAATCATCACAGTCTGTCACCGCCAGNCACCGCCAGGGATTAGGCGAAACCGCCCCGGTAGCGTTTAATGGTTTTGCGGAATCTCAGCAACCATTCCATTGCATCGGGTCTTTCAAATGCTACATTGGACACAGCGGCAAGAAATTTAATTGGCACGGGAAATGCCCTGTTGTGCGAAAATCGTGCAATGAATTTCCTCAACTCCCACAGTGATCGTTTAAAATGTTTAATTTTTCAGTAGCCCATAACAAATACAACAAAAAAGCTTCCATTTTTGTACAAGAATAGTTTGAAGTTGGTTACATGGCAACGTTTTATTGAGCAAACGAGAAATGGATTTTCCTCAAGAGAAGTTTCTTGTGAATCCTTATTGCTTAATCGCTTAATCATGGCATGAGTAGACTCAGTCCAGGCGCTCAATAGCTTGGTGTGTAAATTCCAATGATGCCGAGGTTCCCTCGAATTATACCGCTTCCTTTGAACCGAATGCAATGACCATAAAACTCCTATCCCGGTATGGTGGCATAGCCAGAAATGTCCTGCTTGATTTTATTGTGTGCAAACATATTGATGCATGTAAAAGAATAGCCGACAGAATCTTGAACAACGAAGATCACTGCTTGCACAGCGACCTGCTTAAATCCATGTCAACCCTCGTGCCCGCTTCCATTATAAGCTCCCTCCCACACGCACCGTCACATACAGACACAGCATCCTCCTTTGTCTTGCTCGCGTTCTAGGAAATCGGGCACCTATTATTACAGGTTTGGTTGAACACCTCATGAATTAGCTGATTTATTCATTTCACTCTATCACTATTGACTTCCTGCTTGCAGTTTGCTGTCATTTTTTATTGACCTATTCACACTCCAATGCGATTCCCCCCCCAATTCCACTATATTATTGTGAAAAATCGCTGAAAATTCACCCTCCGGGTGCATAAAAATTACTCTAACTTGACGTGACCTACATGTCTCTGACACTGCAGGGCACAAGGACGCAGTGACAGAATCAGCAATGTTCAATGTTCTGCCTGAATAGTAAGATAAAATCTGAACTCATTCATCAGCTAACATAAATTTTATTTTATTTTTTCTCTGTAATTTCCCGATTTACTCTTGCATACCATCTACAATGTCAATGGGAACAATCCGTCGCCTACAGCTTCTCTTTTTGTGGCACAGCTTCATCGCATAAGTTCCAATCCTCGTTACATCATGTACAGTCCTTGTCGCATATTTTCACAGCCGGATAGCATCAATAGAATCCGTATAGTTTAGTGAGTGAGATATTTGGTGATAACACTATCTAACAGTTATCCATGATTCTACAAAGAATGATAACTTTGTACCGAGTGATTCATGGTGTATTAAGTTGGGGCATGTACAGTATTCTACCCAGGGTTGTCCTAATGTTGATCTACAACTTTCTCCTACGTGAGGAAAAGTTGTCCCCATCCAGGAATTCACGAAGAATGTTGGGCTTAAAATTCCGGTAATGTCATTGGTAATGATGACAAATGATTTACAGAAATCAACTGTTGACCAATATCCTCCTCAATTTCGGGAATAGACTCGATTACTGAGATTCGGTTTTGTGTACAACACTGGCGCGCCCTATCACGAAATGCGTCTGTGGAGTACTGATTCAGAATTATTGAACTGTGTTCGAATAAATTAGTCTGACATCGATTTCCAGAAATCCTAACCAGTGTAACTTCACTCACTATTTAGCAATCCCCTATCCTTCACTCACTCCTTGTCATTCATGAAGATCAATTCAGACGGATGTTATTTTTACTTGTGTAAAAACATGATCTTTCTGTGTCCCGTTATTACGGGCTGTTGATATGATTAGTACCGGAGAGACTAGGTAGACTAATCCATCACTAATCCCTCTCTTTCTCACTCGCGGTCAGTTGTGTTTCCTGATATCCGATTGGACAAACGCACACAGAATGAACATGTTATCCAGATA